TAAAAGCAGAAAGGCTGTTATTTTGCCATGTCTGTGTGTGAGCAAAAATTCACCAAGATGAATAAAAATGAAGGGCTTAGTAATAGCGTTAATGGGCGTAATGGACATGGTGTGGACTAGAGATGGGTTGTTCATTTTGAACGAATCTTTAATGTGACTCGGGAAGAACGAGTCGTCTCGGGGAGTGATTCGTTCAGTCGCACATGCGCAGCATCCTATAGGTTCTGTCCTGGAATTAGTCCAGTAGTTCACCGGTTTCGAGTCTTCGGGTTTGAGTCGTTCGTTCATCACGTGACAGCCCCATACACTTTAACCAATGCAGTCTGAGCCGGAAAGAGACTTAATAATAATAATAACCAGCTCTTTATTACCTTTGTTACAACATTCAGTGTTATGGAAAAGAACCATAATGACAGAAACTCACACATTTAGAAACTGTAAGAAGTAAAAAGCTACAATTTGAGACCAGAAACGGATAACTTAACTGTAAGAGTAAATAATAATTATAATAATGATGATAATAATAATAACTATGCACTCGTTTGTAAGGAAGTTTGTAAATTAACTAATTTCTCTATCCAATGCTGTCACGTCACGTGAAAAAAGAACGAACAAATCTTTTCTGCTTCTTATAGCATTATAGTTTTGTATTGTTTGTAGTGTGATCAACGTTTGCTTAAGTAGTAGACGTGTTAGGGAAGTAACACGTAACATTTTAATTATATTTTGCTAAAATGAACGAAATGACTCGAAAAAAATATTCGTTCATTTTGCTGAACAAGACTCAAAGGTCCGAGTCAGTAAAATGATCTGAACTTCCCATCACTAGTGTGGACATCAATAAACATCCTGAAAATGAGCTTAGCAACTCACCATAACCACGAATACTCCACAGTCAATCCCAAAATGTTGTAGGGGTATCCCATTTGAAGAAAGAACACCTATTATGAAGAATTTACAATGACTATCAACCGTATACATGTTGTTCTTGTATATTTTCATTGTAAAGGATTATTACCTCAACATCCAGGCCTGACTGTTCTTCCCATGGCACAGGAATGAGCTTTTGTGCAACAGCCCTGATAAAAATCAAGACGGTGTTATGAGGAATACTTACAATTTAAATACACAGAGTATAATTCAACTGAGGAACACAAACGGTTCCAGACATGCAGAACATTCAGTGTTTGGTTGAACATGAAATGCCAACAATGCTTATATCCTCTGAACGTGAGGAGGTACTATAATTATGCAGAGTTTGTCCAAGCAGCCTTGACAAGTCAGGGGAACGTGACTGCCAGAATAGATCATCCTGTTGTAACTTCTAGATGTCACGGTAGGGCATGTTCCCCGCTGTGCATACAGTGAATCGAGAAACAGTGTTCCTCTTTTGAGTGGCAGCATCACCTATGAGAATAGTCTTGGCAAAGAGATAACTTAAGTGGAATATTCCAATCAGGGATGGGCAGTATTTCAAATACATATTTGAAATACAAAATACTATTTTGTATTTAAATACCTTTGAAAAAAATCTAATGTATTTTGTATGAACTGTTCCATGCTCCGGCGTGGTTAGCGATCGCACTACATGTGTCCCGCACCAGAGCCACCTCTTCAAGCGGGCCAGGGCATGGTTAAACAAACCGCACTGGACACAGTACAGAGCAGTCACACTTGTGAAATGAACTGGACTTTGGGGGTCAATCGTGCTCAAGCATGGATCTAGTGTGAGTACATCCTAAATCTAAGTGAATATCAGATAGCACATCACAACTAGAACCATAACAGCACAAAAAAATGAATGATAAAAACATTGACAGCCATTTGGAATCATTTCTGCTTTAAAGAGCTTGAGCATTTAAAGTGACAGATGACACAACTGCATTGTATACTTAGAATACACTAATATAGTTATCTTTATAAGTATCGTTCTTTGTGTAAACAGGCCTTAAATGTGTTACTTTACTGGATGGCCAAATTCACATGTGTTTTGTGCATTTTCAAAATACAAAATACTCTATTTGTATTTAAATTAATTTTTCCACACAGTATTTTTATTTTAAATACATTTTGATGTATTTGTGCCCATCTCTGATTCCAATAAGTGTTGCAAAAAGGAACCTTCATATGCTTCTTTTTATCATCAACGGTGTAGCTTGACAAACTTTCTTAGAATTCATGCATCACTTACACATAGCAAAAAATGCCCTTGTGTCCACAGCGGGAATATAAGTGCATCTTTCTCTGTGGAGTCGACCTTAAAGAAAGCATGTAATGTTGTCAATTCAAAGTTTATTTATTGCTGTACGAATGGGTAGGTACTTACAGGAAGACTGCCTAAAGGGTCACAACTCAAGGGTGGAGGCCATGTTGGGGAGATGTGGAGGTCCATAATAAAGACATTTTCCCCTACAGAAAGACAGCTGACTTACTTTCTTCGTTGTACTACACAGAACTCACATAGGTCCCACTAAAATATACATGTATACATACCTGTAGCTCGACTAACTCCTTCACAAGCCTCAGACAGGCATTTCCCACCTGTGCATATGATTGAATACATTTATTTTTTACTGTATTTACAAACAAAACATATCGAGTACTTTCACATTCCAACAAAATCTTTCACCCACCATTGAGTCCATTTCCCTGTTTAGACCTAAAGATAACAGGTTCTCTCTGGTCAAACATGTAGGACCATCCTTAATAATAATTTCATGGGCACGCCTACCCTCATCCAGAACATAGTTGACCTACAAGTAAGAAAAAGCCAAAAAGACATGCAAATTTAAAAGTAGCATTAAAAAAAAAACTTGCAACACACAGGCAATATCAATAAAATTCTTCAATTACTTCAATGACAGAAATGGACTTCTGTCAAATAAGCTTTGCATTCATGTACCAGCTGTTCCTGGAGGGCATGCTCTCCTCCAGCTGCCCACAATGTTCTGCAGGGCCTGAGGTTGCTGATGGCAGTAAGTGTTGCACAATGCTGCCCACAATGGTGCGAAGGGCCAACATCTACAAGAAAAACTAAACAGTTAGACTTATTGATGCTAATATTCATTAATCTCACTGCATTTGATCTGACAGTAGCATTCACCGATCCCCAACACTAAACTGCTCCCAGTTAATAGCCATTAGTTCTTTAAACTTGTATTCATAATGCTCACCATGTGTTGGTGCTTCATCAGTGGGTGCTTGTGCAGCTGTGCTTTCAGTTGACCTTGGCTCGTCTGGAGTGAGTTGAGGTCCTTAAGGTTCTGAGTACAACAGCATGATTTCAGGAACCAATTAAATGACTAAAACATGCATTACAGTTAAGTTTTTAAACTTTTGACAAAACATGAACAATTACGTCACATGGTAGTTTAATTACATGACTGACTTTGTATTATCATTAAAGATAAAGCAATTTACTTGTTGCTGAAGGTGCCTGGGCCACCACAGTTGTGCTTTGCTGTTTTGATGCATCTGATTGCTGGGCTGGGGACACAAAGAAGACATGAGCACAGCAAAACTGGAACAAAACTATGTCTGTGTACTGGCGTTATGTAAAATCAACACAGAAAAGTACTGCATCATTCATCTATGACAGCTTGTCCCAAAGCAGACAAGGGGATGGTGCTCAGAAGTTCCAGTCGGCGTCCAGAGTTTAAAGCCATATTAGTGTACACCTCTGATAAAGTGTTAGGCATGTGTGAACTAAGCGAAGTTCTCTTTTATGTCTTATTGTGCTTAAACTGTCAAACACAGTTAAAAAATAAAAATAAAATAAAAAAGAGTTACAAAAATGTTCGGACATATCTGTGAAGGTAACCGCTGGGAAATAAATTGCATGTTTATATTAGATCTGTGTGGCAGCAGCTTAATATACAGTAAATAAATCAATAAATCCACTGCACTCTTGTCTCTCTCTCTCACACACACACACACACACACACACATCTATCAAAATGTTAAAAACACAGAGTTCTTCTGAGCATCACTGCTGTCTCACATTCATAACTGGCAGGAGAGACAATTCTGTTCAGTAAGTTACCAGATAACAGTTGAATTCTTCATGTCATGCTTAAATTGATCTCCAGCCAGCAAACAGGGGACGTCCCCCGGATGTTCCGAACGTCCGTTTAGGTCCGCAGTACGTCCGCTGTGTAACGCTCGCTGGCGGACGCTTTGAGGACATTCGTCTGAGCCAGTTTGTGAACGTCCCTGTTTCTTCCCTCATCTGCCATTTCCATTACAACACTTGAAAAATCCAGTCGCCCTGCGTGGGCTTTTATCATCAGGCCTGACACCTTGTAACTCAGACAAAGAGAGTTGACAAAATTAAACTAAAATATAAACCCATATTGGATTTTAAAGGGTACTATTCCTTAAAACAAAATTCCTTTTTTTAACTGCGATATTAGAAAAATTGTTTTGTTTATCAGATTGATATTATTTTTTTACTATTGTATAATAGATTTGAATACATTGTAATATGAAGTTAATGTTAAATTAATCATTTTCATTTCTGGAAAAAGAAAATAGGAGTAGCTTCTGTAATTAAAAATGTCATCAATCAGGAGTCTGTTTTCAGCATTTAAACATCTAAATCATGATACCCTTGAATAATATAATTGCACATATAGGCTACAGCTAGGTGTATGCACGCCCCGTGCATGAAGAAAATACGGTTGCATCCCAGCAGCTCTGAAAGCTTGCTATAGAGTGAAGAATGCAGCCAAGGAAAACAAGAAGAAAAGAAAGTGGAAAGTAACAAGACAAATAAATTAATTATTTCCATTTACATATTAAACTGTTGGTAAGCCGACAAGAAGTTATTTAGGAAAATTATTTTAGTTAATGCATTTAAGACTGCTATACCACATGCAGCTAAAAACAAAAATTGTGTAATGTTTATAACAGGTTCATTTTTTAGTGTGAAATAAATCGTTGCATAGCACATATCCATAAGGATATTAAATCAAGGAAAACATGTACAACCACAACCCAAATGGAAAACTCCAAAGACTTTTATTATTGCTAAGGGTTCAAAATTTAAGCAAAGCACTGCAAACAGAAATGCACAATGACAGTTGCTCAATCAGACACATGCAATGACCTCCAAACAGAAACAGCAAGCACAGGAGACACCAAACAGGAAGGAAACGAGTCCATTTTTGAGATTGCTGGAAAAGAAAAGAAAAATATACAGGTAAGACATACATCATCATGTAAACTTGGACTATATCATATTTTAAAGAGCAATACTAGTTTTAACTTGTCTATAACTTGGCAAATTACCATGGAATAAGCGGAATAATCAACGGCTAGCCGTGCATTAAAGGATTTTAAATGTGCTTTGCCTTGAGTGGTTCTTTGCCTCCACGTCGTGCATTTAAAATCCGTATACACAACCACCCTATAATGATAAAAATCCACCCAGTGTTTTTTTTATCTCCTAAAATCATT